TATTCAAACCTACGTTTTTTTTTTTAATAATTTATAAATTGGCGCTATAACAAAGAACGACGTGAATCTAGACAAAATTCAAAAGGGTGAACATGAGCGGGTGACAGTCAACTTTTCTCATCAATGTGGCGCCGGCAGTGATTAAATGATAAATTGGATGTATCCGTGAGCGGAGATTTTAGTGTAGAACACGAGTTAAAACGATCATTTTTCTAAATAGAAAGAGAGAGTAAACTCAAATATTATTACCTCAAAGGTTTGTGCACGTTGACGCATTCAACGAACTTTGTTAATCTATTCGAATGACGATGACAGTATACTGACTGTCTCACCGATTCGGAAGCTATGGCGAACATCGCGGCATTGAGAATCCAACGCGAATTTAAAGAGGTTATAAGAAGCGAAGAGGTGAGTGAATAATATAGCTTTCTATAATTTTAATAAATATCGTTCGTTTTTCACTCAAAATGTAATTTTTAAAATTTCTGAACGATATCGTACAGTTATGTTATACTGTTCTGAAAAAATTTTATGTGGCGTGACAAAAATGTGCTGCAATTCATTGGTTGATGAAAATCACCGCGAACAAAGCATAGGCACCTGTTGTATGATATTCTCAACTGTCACCAACATTTAAGCTCATTGAAATTTGCTAATTAAATGCTTCTGTTTTGATGCATTTAAAAATATTTCCACCAAATATTCTTACTTTGAAGAAAAAAAAATAATTATGAATAAATTTCCTCTATATTATATCATTTCAATGAATCAATATGCAAGTTCAGTTATACAAAATAATACATACTTGTTTTGTGTTTAAATGTAGAATTGATCATTGACACATGCTCATGTCCATGAGATTGTTGAAATAATACATACCATTTGCCTTAAGTTTCTGTGAACACTGACATATTCGCTTGCACTTGTGTTGTTCTAAAAGATCCATTTTATATGCTCAAAAATATCTATTATTATTTATTATTTCCATATGTTTATAAAGAGGCAGATTGCATTAGAATGTCTTGATCTTCGTGTTATGATAATATGGAAAATTATCACTATAAGATATTACATCACTCTAATAGCAGATGATAATGTCAATAGGTCATTTGGTTATAGTTTAAACACACTCTTAAAAAAATCACTTTATATGTACCATTGCAATGTCATATTTCATGTTGTTTAATGAAAACTAATAAATGTTTTATAATTTGTATTTGAAATTATATAACTTAGCATGTATTAATATACATTAGACAATTGCAATAACCTACACTTATACTTTCATGTTATTGATTTTTATGTTTTTATTATTCATTTGTTTATAGATGTAAAAAAAATGTAAGATTAGTTTTGTTTCATGCAAATTATAGCTACATTCATTCATGTAAGTATGTATCTTTAAGAGAACATTTAGTAGTAACATAAAAAATTGTCCATGAAAATATTCATACTTTTTAATAATTTGTTTATTAAATTTTGTTGTAGGTTGCAAAATGTGCAATTAAAGTTGAATTGGTAAATGATAGTTTTACTGAATTAAAAGGTGAGATTGCGGGCCCACCAGATACACCATATGAGGGAGGTAATTTTGTGCTCGAGATTAAAGTTCCCGAGACATATCCCTTCAATCCTCCTAAAGTAAGCACTTTGTAAGTCAATATGATTAATATATGTTAATGATAAAGTATCAATTTTATACTGTTGGGAATTAAGACAGGTTAATATAACCTAAAACATGACAAAGCACTTTCTGTATTCTTTTTCTTATTTGTATTTATAAACTTTTATCATACTATTTGAATTAATATAAAATATACTAGAATGTGAAGTAATTAGAAATATTGTACTAAATATTAGGTTTATATGAAAATGTTTTCTTTTTCTATAAATGTTCCAGAAATAGATGAATTGATTTATATACATTTTCTATGGTTTAATTATTATATTTTATTGACTATACAATATTTTGTAGGTACGATTCATAACAAAAATATGGCATCCTAACATATCTTCAGTAACGGGTGCTATATGTTTAGATATATTGAAAGACCAATGGTATGTAATTTATATATATATATATATATATATATATATATATATATAT